CGCTCCTCCTAGCCGGCCGCCACCCGCCCTCGCCTGCGTCGGGAGCTCCCTGGTCCCGGCCGGACTCGGCCGCCACTTCCGGCCGCTCACCTGGGACGCGCTCACCTGGGCGCGCTCACCTGGCCCTGGGCGCCAGGATGAAGGACCGGCTGGAGCAGCTGAAGGCGGTGAGTGCCGCCGGGTCCCCCAACTCTGCGAGCCCGGGGCTGACGGGGTGGAGCTGCGCGGGCGGGGGGCTTCCCTGGCGCCCCCGCGCGAGGCCCGCCCCTCCCCGAGCCTGGTCAGCCGGCTCCTCGCTCTCCCCTCCCAGGTCATGTGCAGAGTGATTCATTGCTGGCCGGCGCTTTCCCTGGATGCCTCTAGCCCTGCTCTTCCTCCTCCCCTTCACCTCCCGGAGCTGGGCTGAATCCTCCGCAGCTGGGATCCGCGGGGGGTGCTGGGAGCCGGGGGGAGGGAGTCCCTGAGCGGTCTGGGGGCTCTTCAACACCGTCCCACTGCCGCCTGTCACTGTGCCCTGACTGGTCTCCTCCTCTCCACTTTCCTAGTTTGCCTTCCAGGGGCACTGGGCCTGGCAACCCCCTCCCTGGGGAAGCAGGTCACAGCTCTTGGGTGACCTCCTCAGTGGAGGGTGAGCAGGTGTCTGTGGGTCCAGCTTCTGGCGTTTCTGGCCTTGGGCCCTCTGTAATGATTAAAGTCCCCCACCGCGGGACGGCTGTGTTGGGGCAGAGGACGTGAAGGAGGACAGCCTGCAGCCTTGCCCAACACAAATCTTGGGCACCTTAACCATTCCCAACTGTTTCCCTATGTGTCCAATGGGGATGATGAGACCCTAAGAGACTGGTTATAAGATGCGGTGACATCATGGATGTGACCCAGAGAAGTGTCAAAGTCTGGGCTTTTGAGTCATATACTCAGTGACTCACTCAGCAGTTAGCTTGGGAGGCCAGGCCCTGATGGCGCAGGTGCTGCCTTGGTGGGGTTTCACATCCAGCCCTCGAAACAAAGTGGGAGCTGGTGGTAGCCCAGAAGCTTGGGGATGATCAGAGTTGATCTGATCACCCCCAGGGAGATGCATGAGCCCAGTAAAGCCTGGGGAGCCCTGGGCTGGGGAGACTGGGGCTTTCCTCCTGCTTCATTGCTTACTAGCTGCCTCTGAACTCTTGAGCTGGGACTTTTGTCGTTTGTGCAAAGGGTGGTCAGCGAATTGGAGTAATAAAGGGTTGGTGTTAATGCTCATTCATTGTAACTCTTTGGAAACACAGGCGCCTCATCTCAGAGGAGTGGACCGCAGGCGATGTTGCAATTGTTTTTCTTTCTCCTGCCTCCCTTGGATGAGACCTTCTTGACCCTTTCACCTGCTCTGGGTGGTTAGGCCTACGGAGGAGGCGGCAGCCTGGGATGGGGAAGTGAGAGACGCAAAGGGAAGGGCCTGATTGTGGGGGCAGCCTCTCTGCCTCCTGCTTGCTGTTTGTCAGAGTCCCTGCGCAGCAGCCCAGTGACCCAACCTGGCATATTTATGGCCCCTATTTTTATAGCTGGGGCACTAGAGGAGGGAGGTGCCGGTCACGGAGCTGGCGAGGGCACCGCCAGGGAAGAACCCAGCACCTGCATCTGCCTGCCTGCCCTGCGCACCCTGAAGTGGGCTGGTGGGGAGCCCCAAAGGAAGGAGGAGCGTGGCGTTGAGGCTCTTCCTCTGTTAGCTCACCCACCTGGCTTCATGCCACACCCAGCACCTGGCAGAGGGTTCTCTTGCTTTTCCAGAAGAAAACACTCCTGGCTTCTGCATCTTACCAGGAGTATATCCTATACTCCTGATTCTATACCTGTTGTCAGCAAATAGCTGAGCCTCACCTGAGCTTGGGGTTCCAAGTGTACATTCAGTTTCCCAGGAACCCACCCCAATGATGGGGCTCCTCTGTGCCCCATCATTGCCCTCTATAAAGTGGAAAGGAGGCTGTTCCCCCCTACACCCCCATGCCTCTTGGGGAGGAGGGCGCTCTCTGGGAGTGCTCTGAAATCAGTGCCTGGTGTTGAAGCAGGGAGGTGGGTGTAGGTGCTAATTGTCACAACACCCAGTTGCTGCTGCCATCCAGCCTCCTCTCCTGCCTGCTTCTCCCCACCATGAAGCATGGAATTTGGTTGCGCTCAGGGAGCCCCTTCTGATGGTATCACTGTTTCCCATGAAGATTGTACTTTAGGTTTATGCAGATTTTTAAAAATCACGTCAAGGTTTACAACCTTTGTAGTATGTTGGGGGAATAGATCTCGCCCTGGGGCCGGGGCTGGGTACTCCGACACAAGCACCCTTGCTCCCCAGTCTTTGTGCTCCCTCCCCAACCGTGCTGGACCCTCCTCCTCAGTTCTCCGCTCAGCTTTCCAGGGCCGGGTTTTGCTGCTTGGCTGTTTGTTTCTCTCCGTTCCACATACAGGTGACTCCATCCACGTTTGTCTTTATCCTTCTGGCTTGTTTCTCTTGTGTGAATTTTGTTTTTCTAACCCCTGTCCTCTCCCCACCTCCTGCCCTCCCCAGAACAGAGAAGCCCCTCCCTGCGACGAGATAACCATCTCTTCTCTCTGATTCCTTTTATCATCAACAGAAAACCGTTTGTCAGTTTGCAGCAACCTCTAGTGTACAGTGTCTTTCTAGACCCTGGAGAAGGGAGGTGACAGCTGTCTCCTGATGGCTGGGGGGGTCTCTCACCATGGCTTGGGGGCCTCTCCTGATGGTTGAGGGGGTCGCCTGCAGCCTGCCTTGGCCCTGTGTGCATGCAAGGAGGTGTGGAGTTGGTGAGAAAGTAGAACTCTGCTTTGTAAAAAGAGCAAAAGAACTTTTAGGAGTCAGAGGTGTCCACAGACAGGATGGGCTGGCTCAGAAGCTGTCAGCCTCGAGTAGGAGGGAGGCAGGGAGTGTGTGGGGGTGTTGAGCGTTGGGGCACACTTGATGTTGGGGAATCGGAGCACCTCTGAGAGGAGACCATCCGGGAGATTGAAGACCCCTTCAACCCCGAGGATGAGGGCGGTGGTTCCAGAAAATGCCCGTGGCTGGTCAGCCTGTCCTGAGGCCATGAGGCTCTGCAGGCTGCAAGATTGGGGTCTTGTGGTCCCCCTGTAAAGAGGATCCCCAGGGTCAGTGAGCACAGATTGAGCCAATTCATGATAATCACCCACTGCAGTCAATGTGAGCCCAAACTTGAGCTGCTGTGGCTCCAACTGAAGGCTCCCAGTGCCGGTCACGAGGCCTGACTCAGCTTATCTCCTGTATGGCTCCGCCCTCCTCTGGCCTCCTCTGCAGGGGCCTGGCCCCTCCGTGTGCAGTGTCCATGCCCAGCCCTGCTCACCCGGCAGCTCTTGCTCACTTCTTACTGCCGAACTTTGGATCTGCTGAGTCCTCCTGCCGGCCTCCTTTCATTCAGCAAACATTTGCTGAGCAACGTTCTATGCCCCAGGTCCTGTGACAGCTGGTGGATGCAGTCACCATTGCACACACATACCCAGACCTTAGGAAGTTCATGGCTAGGTAGGAAGATGCCAGAGACAGAGACATCACGTGGGCACGGCCTCGTGATAGAAGCAACTGCAAGAAGACTGTCACCAGGCTGGGGCAGAGGGGGAGGCGGCAAGGGTTTGGGGCCACTTCCTGGAAGAAGTGACCTGAGCTCAGGCCCCTCTGCAAGTCCGCTAAGATCAGGCCTAATCTCTTGAGGTGCCTGGCCCTGGTAAGGTTCCCATGCCCGCCGGTGCCCATGCCCAAAGGGAGCGCTTCACCTGTGCCCCTGGCTTCAGATGCCTTTGACCTCTGGGCTGGGTATGCTCATCTTCATCCCTCTGACCTCCTGCGGGGCATTTATAGTTAGGCAAAATAACTATGCACGGGCCTGGTCTTAAAGAGTAGATGGTTGTCTAGGGAAAGCAGGAATGCATTTCCTGGAGAGAGGTTTACCCCAATGAAACAGGTCAAAAGCCAGTGTTGTATGGACTGGTGGGAGATCTCGACTTTGGCCCTCTTCGAGGCTGATCTGTGGAGAAGTGGAATAACGTGGGATGTATTGCCCCTCCCGTGTCAGCGTGGATGGAGACACGCAGGACATCAGCCACGGGGAAGGGGGGGAAGGGCTAGACTTCCTTTTGCTCTTTCTTTTCTGTCTTGATGCATCCTGAGTGGCTTGACTTTGTGGGGTCTGAAGTTCTGGGGTGTCTGCAGTATCAGAGCTCTTGGGGAAGTTTGGGGCTCTGGGGTCTCATTTGAAGTTCTGGGGTCCTCCGGATAATGGCTCTGGTGTTAACTGCAGCAGAGGCACGAGGCTGCTCTTCGCCTTTAAGGCTTCATTCTCTCCCATAAGCACGGCCATCTGCCTTGGGTCTCAACCAGATCTTAACATCCAGTTTGAGGATCTTTTCCCTGAGATTCGGTCCTTTGGTGAGAAGGCGCCTGACTAGCCGGGGGTTTCTTCCTCACCTGCTCCCTCTCCCCACGGGGTCATTCCCTCACAGCTGTTCTGTGGGCAGACTACAGGCAGAGCTGATATGGAGTGACATGGATTGAGCTGGGATTACAGACTCATCCACTAGCGGCCAGGAGAGAAGATGCTTGCCTGAGAGAAGGGGATTAGTTTTATTTTTATTCCTGTGATGTGGGGGGACTGGGTGTGCAGGGGAGGGGGGGAGCTGGGTGAGCAGCATCTGTCCACACTGTCCTCTCTGGCCTCTGTCAGAACCCCTCCTGGTCCTCTGAAACTCATTCTTTATAGGCAGTGCACCCGTAGCTACAGCCCGGGATATATTCTGTTCCTTTGGCGGGGGCACTTGAAACCATCTTCCATTTGTTTTGTAGGGATTGAACTCTGTCTCCTAGGTCCCCTTGGCTCTTGATGAGTGGTTACCATATCAACCGCAATAACAGTGTTTGTTGACCAGCTGCTTCCTACTGGGGACCTGTGAGGTGCCTAGCTTCCTGGTCTCTAATCTTCTCAAGCCTGCAGAGCCCCGTGGAGTGTGTATGATGCCCCTTGCATAGGGGGCCGGCTGGAGGCTCA